ATCATACTCATTTCAAAGAAAGCACGTGTGATAACCACTAGACCAGTCAAAAAATCAGTGCCAAACCAAACCATGTCTAAGAACTAATGGTAGTTGTATATTTATTTTGACTTTGTCTTTCCAACCACAGTCCTTTTAGGACCTGATGAATGAATCATTAAAATGATTTACATGTACCACCAGTTCCAGACCACCATGATGGTACTGTATATAAAGTAGTTAGATGTTAGTATCACAGTTGCACCACTAGGAGTCTCTGTTTGGCATAAACTGGGTTGCATGAGTCTGCTGTTGAATGAAAAACTTAAATGATAGAAGGTTTTACATATTTGAGGGTTATGGCTTCTGTCCAAGAATACAAGAAAGCAAAAGAACTGCCCCCAAACTGTTTCTCCTTGTACTGTAGTTGTGCTCTATGTATTTATTCACATTAAAACATTCATGCTACTGTCATTTCACTTTGACACAATCTCAGTGATAAACACAATTGGGAGATCAAAATGTAGAGGTAAAAGTACCTCAGAATATTACAGTTTGGATTTGACATGCAACTGTGACAATATTAGAATTAGTCATGTAACTTGTAAATTAAATTATAAAATTCAGTAATGATATGAAAGCCCCCCATACTCCACAGAACTTTTGTACCTGCCACAGTGAGGCATTTAAAGCTCCGTGATGTTTTTCAAAATGTGATTAGAGATACACACTGATTATGCTGCCTTTCGTATACCCAGTACTTAAAGGTAATATAGAACTTATTTCCATACTATGTTTTTTTTCATTACCTCTTTCATTAGGGAGTCTGAAGATAATGCCTAACTTGAAGTAAAGCATACTTCACGTTACTTTATACAGTACATTTTGAATAAGTTATCTAACTCTAATCGATATTAATCAATCTGTTCATTTTTCATGTTTCTTTTAAAAATATACTATCTAACCAGTGTATTTTTTCAACTAACATTTACATTTGGACCTTCAAGCAATAATTGTACAGGTATTTGTCTCTTCACAGTACTGGATTATTTCTGGTTAACTAACTTTGGAGGTTATTGAGCACTCCTTTTTAATAACAAGCCCACTTTTTATTTACAATGTTTTACCTTTGTTTAGTTTTTTAATAATGTTTATGAAACTGTATTGAATATATATAGTGTATACTACATCATGATGCATGTTACAAATGTATTAATACTTCATACAGGAGTACTGTAACAAAACAAATTTTGGTTTTGCTTTGCAACTGGGTGGGACCAAAGAATTGCAGGTGCTGAAACATATTGCTTAGTGTGGCCTCATTTTTAATAATGCTTCCCACAGTATATGTTTTGTGCACTACTTTCATTGTTGAAAAGATGCAAACACAAATGTTCTCATGCAATTTTCTGGCACAGTTTTATAGCAAAGCTCCAGCATTAAAGAGTCAAGATTTCTCTTCATGACAGGCTTAGGGAAAATAGATGTTGGTTGGAGAGCTGTGACAGTTACAATTTAAATCAAATAAGTTCTACATAAAACTAGGTGTCTGTGGGGTGGAGTGAATAATCTTCAGCCATCTGTCAGCTGTCAAGGGTGGATTACATCTGCAGCAACAATAAATGCACACCATGCCTGCTGGTGAAGTTGGTTTGGCACATATACAGGTGAGGTTTTGACAATAGTGATTTGCAAAAGAAACAGGAAATTTGTCTTTGTGCAATGAAGGGTATTTGGGAGTTCCCTTCTCACAGAGCTGCAGATAATGTTTTTCTGCATTCAGCCTATGAATGCAGAATGTGGGGAACGCGACAAACTGATTAATGTGCACTTGGTTGGAGATATTTTGCATGCCTTGTAACAAGTGTCAACATTAAAGCATCTAATTGTTTGATGTTGCATTTAAATATTTCGGCAAATACATTGCCTTGCAAAAGTGTGTTGATCCCTCCTGTGGTGTCCCATTTTGTGAAAGTATAAAATGATGCAAATGCAGTTTTTAAATGTAATACTTTAGTAAAAAGTCAGCAGAAACAAAAGAGCAAAAGCTGAAATTAATTGTTTAAGTTCAGACCTATGAACTCAATATTTGGTGGAAGCACCTCTGGCAACAGTTAGAGCCTCAAGTCTTTTTGCATACGTCGATGCCAGCAGTTTTGATAAAAAAAATGAATTCCACACAACACTAATAGCGAGCTGCATGGAAATCATTTAATATCAGACCCTATGCATTTGGTAGTGTCTAATGAGATTCTTCAGTTAAATTTCAGAAATTCTGAGTATTTTACAGTTTCCGATGTGCAAAGCTCTTCCATACTGATGAACCTCTCAGATTACCTTGAGCAGATGTAAGAACGTTAGCTTCAGTCTTAGCAGGCACTAGGCCTCGTTCTCCCATGTGTGAAATCCCAGTTAAAATATAACCAACACCCCCTAGCCCAGAAGGTATATCTACTTGTTTTCCAACAAGAAGTTCAGGGATTTCAGTAAACTCCCACAAGTGTGGAATATTTGAATGATAAATTTATGTTGGATACTGATTTGGCCTTGACCCATTTCGCTGCAGGAACAACTGCCTGGCTATGAAGATTAGGGCTATGGGAACCTCCCACTAGGTGCAGCGAGCCAAGGACATGATGCAAGTTTGGTGACTGAGGAGGAGGAGGTGTGGTCGAAGCATTTCTCTTCTCTCCTTTAAATTGTTCAGAGCACCATATATTATGTCTTGAAAGTACTCTTCTGTTATTTTGAATTTGGGTTGTGTAAGATGCACTTGCATAATTCAGGATCTGAATTTTGTAGTAATTCACAGGTTTTATAGTCCTACGAACAGCAAATGGTTAACCTCAAAATTATCTCATATACTGTTCCTTTGTACCCATACTATTTACCGGCTACACCTAAAATGGATAAGCATTTCTTCCACTTTTGAATTTTTATATCTGACATCTATAGTGCTTTGTAAATGTATTCAGACCCTGGGACAGTTTTTTACATTTTCTCCCCTTAAAGCCCAGAGACATGACACTCTGAAGCAGCAGTTAAACATTTGTCTATACATCCTACTCCACACAGTCAGAGCAAAAACAAAATTGAAAGAAGTAAATATATAATTAATATGAAAGAAAAATGTAAAAGCCAGGATTGCATAAGTATTCAAACTCTTGGCCATAGCAAACTAAAATTAGTTTAGGTGCACAGAAATATCTTAACAAGCCATTTGCTTGAGTATGTGCAATGATAGAAGTTCTCATGATTTCAGACTAAAAACACCTGACACAGTGGGGTTACTTGGTCAGAGTTGAGCGCTCAACCATAAAAAGACTAAGGAGCTTTCAAAGTAAAAGTTAGAGCTAGAGAGACCAGTGGTTTAGATGGGTGAAAATGTGCATCAGTCAACAATAACCAGAACAATTTATAAAACTAGTATGTACGGCAGGGCGGCAAGACGGAAGGCATTACTAAAAATAAGCCATCTCAAAGCCAGCAAGGAGTCTGCAACAACAACACACACAGGGGATCCTGCACAAATGTGGCAAAGGGTGTTGTAATCACAAGAAACCAGAGTAGAAGTTTGGTTTCAATATCAAGTGAGAAGTTTGGTGCTGACCCAAAACAGCACGTCTCTCAGTCGACTCCATCCCTGCACTAAAGCTTGGTGGTGGAGGATACCTTTCCTCTGTAGAGACTGGAAAGCTTGTTCTGATTGATGGAAAAATGTCAATACAGAAATGTACAGTACAGGCAAGTATTAGAAGGAAACCTGATTCAGGCTACTAAAGAGTTAAATATTTGTATTTGACATATATATTTACACATGGAGAAATTCACAACTATGAATACATACAAATAGGTAATTACAGTGATTAATTTGGGGGTATACTGTATGTATATGCAAGTCTGGTATTAACTCCCCTACAGTTGTAATGCAGTTGGTTTTGGGGTCCAAGTTTTGCTAAATTGTTTAATTTGGTTTTTACAACATGCTTTGAATTTCACCAATGGCGTGTGATCTGTAAGAAATTAAGCCATTCAGATGTAGAAAGTGTGTGTCTGCTTTTCCACTTAAGTAGTAAGCTGTACAGTACGTGCATTTCTACAAATTGTGTACTTAATGCTTTGTATGATGGAGTACTGTACCAATTATTTGCACAATAATCCTTGATTTCTTCCTTCTACTTTTGTTTTCCCCTTAGATTAGAGACATGTTATTTACAGTGTGCACAATAGAAATCGCCGGATTAGAGTTAAAGTGATTGTGAGCTACTGTATAACCTCTTTTACGGAAGACATAAACCAATGTCGCTTTATCCTTTCCCTAGTTGATAATCCACTTAACCCAATATAAACAAGTCACATGCATGTAACAGACACTGATAATGCCTAACAAGTCTTTATAATGCTGCAAACGCCAAAAAAGCTACAGTATCTCCCCTTCCTTTTAGACCACCGGTGTTTAAATATCTTGCACCACAATTCAAAAGAAGGCAAATGATGCTGGTTCTTAATTGTGCGTTTATACACAGTAATGCAGACCTACTGCAGTTATGTTTGACTTGAAATGTAATGACTACTAACAAACGTAGCTGGTTAGTAAAACAGTATTTATCAACAATATGGAGGGAAATCGTATGTTTCTATTGCATCGGTTTTCATAGGTCTGATTAAGAAGCTCTTAATAATGCAAACTGTGTAATGTTCTTCACAGTTACTGGGACAGACTGGCGCGACCCTACAAAGAGAATCTGTGAGGGCAGTTCTGATTGAAAGCTACGGCAGTTTCTCGAGATGTCCGTATCCGAGATTCTTCACTGCTGTGAACCAGCCTCTCGCACAATACCCACTAATTAATTTCAAATGTCATTTGCGCTTCTGAAACAGCTTTGATAAACCATTAGCATTGTCTTGTTTAGCAAATTGCCATCTTATCGATGTGCAAGGGTATGCATCAATAACATTGTCAGGTTGTTTATTTGTGGTTGGCCACATTCCTCTTATTCATTTCCTGTTATGAAGCACAATTTCCCCTGAAAATGAATCAGTCTTTCCATTTTTGTTGACAAAACTACAGGTCTGCTTATCGGTGGATATTTAGAATTGTCAGCCTCAGGTTTTTAAGACGTATACTTGTGCTGCATCCTGCAGAAAACTGGGATTTAGAAAAAAAAAGTTATATAATAACTAGCCTTATGTGGTATTTTTCCACTGAATTTTTCAATACGTTTGTAGAACGTATTTGGGTAGGCTGTAGTTCGGTGATATCCATGCAGCGTGTTCTTTTGTATAGTCCACCTATTCACCGCCACCTGCAAGGAAAGTGCGAATATAGCTTAATTCTGAAGATGAAATTTTGTCTGTAAGTCTTACGGCTACTCGAGACACACTGTAAATACGTGCATTGCTTTAATGCAGCAGTGTAGAAGTGAAGCGAAAGAGGACTTGGGGGAAAAAAAATCTCATCTCAGCAGGCTTCCTTTTCACCCCGACAAGATCTCAGCGCGGCAGTGCAAGTCAAGTTCTGCTTTTCTGCTCGTCACGTCCCGGCCTCGGCGCTGAGGGAGTTCCCTGTGTGCGGAGCCCCGGGAGGTGGCTGGAGCGCAGCTCTCCTCAGCGCGCAGCCTGGTTTCACTAGTTCAGCCTCACTCTGGGACGCGAGGGGGGATCCGATGACGTCACGGGCCAAGCTCTCCTTTTTTTTTTCTATTCTGGGAAGTGGTGCCAGGAATAACCCTGTCTGTCTCCTGATCACAGGCTCCTTCTGAGTTCACGCTCCTCAAAAACTTCGCGACGGCAGGAATTCACTGACAGCTCTCCTTCCGCAGGTGTAACGAAGCCGAGCGTTAGCTAGACACCAGATTTTATTTTAATTTGTCGTTGTTGTCGTCGGAGATAAGTTGTCATTAACTTATTCCGTTTCTGTTACAAATTCCTCTGACTTCCAACTCTCATCGGAGTGTTCCGCATCGAAGAGTTTAAGACGGAGCTGTCACCTAGTTATCGTTTTCACGAAAGGGGCTGACATTTCTCTAGCTGGATGTAGGTGGACGTGTGTGGATGCATGACACTTCAGACGTGACACGGTGAGTGGCTTTGCGCTAACCGGTCGCCGGCGTGACGACACCGCAACGTTTGGTCGCCGAGAGCAGAAACCATCGCCGAAATAATAAATCGAGTTCGTACTAGTTACTGGGATATGTGGGGAATACCCAGTTGCTTGCATGCAGATTAGGAAGGTTGCGTAATATCCCGAGGAATTTGCATAGCTGTTCTAGGGTGTGCGGGTTGGGCCGCTTGCTTTGAAACGGTCACGATTGCTTAGGAGCCGAAAAGGTCCGTTTTGTGTCCCAACACCCGCCCTTAGTGGGACGCAGTAGGGCCGCGCACACATTTCCTTTTTCGTGGTCCCCTGCTGAAAGCGGTCGGTGATCTCTGTGTGAACTGTCACAGCCCGTCTTGCATGTACGTGTGTGTGAGAGAGAGGGAGGGAGGGAGAGGGAAGGTGGGTGGGACGCTGGCTCGTTCCGGGAATGTTCCATGACGCGTTGGACGACAGGAAGGGGGTTAACAAGGGGAGTTCGGCTCGTTTCAAAGAAGATGTTCTCCGCTCGCAAAGTTGTGTCCGCCGTGGGTACAGCAACAGCAACAGAAAAGGGCGCCCTGCTCTTCACGGGTTGGCATTTGAACCGCGGGAGCCGTCGTGTAGGTTTGTGTAAGGCACGCTTCAGGAAGCACCGCCTCCCCTCCCATCAAGTCTCTCACAATTCCCTGCAATCACTGATTCGTTTTGCATTGTTGGGAAGATATTTTTATTTTATTTTATTAGTCAACGCTGAAATTATCTCGGTCTTAACGCAGAACGTCCTGCAGTTACAGTAGTAAATGAGTATTACTGAAGTAACACCACCGCAGTGAATTACTGTAATGTAAGAGGGTTACTGCTTTCACAATATCGGTGTCTTCCTATTTCACTCATATTATTCCCTCCAATCAATGCTATGGCTAGTAACCCTTCTAAAAGTACAGAAAATTAAATGTTTACTGTATGTAAACGTCTAAAAGCAATTTAATAAAATAAAATTGCAAGCCCATTTTTATTAATTCTAGGTAGGTGTACAAGTTCTTTTTTATACAAACCACCTTAAGATTGGTGTTCGACATAAACAATTGGGTTGTTTCTTCTTGGTCACCAGATCGTTAATAAAATCCTTTTTTTTTCTACTGCAGCCTTTGTTGGAATGATCTCAATAATTCTGTAAGCAGAGAGCTTAACAATTGTAGAAGCAGGGTTGGTAGTTTTTTTTTTCTTTTGCACAAAATAATACTTTTAAGGCAGCGACCATCCAGGTAATTCTTTTTGTGTTAAACAAGAGCAGACTGAAGTCATGAAGCCATTGTGTCGGGTGAACCTCGAAGTGGCTCTGATATGTACAACAGGTTTTCCTAAATAAAGACCTATTTAATCAGATATTGACTCTTTTCTGGCTGGAGGTGTTCTGTAGGATAGTTTCTGTAGTATCTGTAGGACAGCAATATAGACATATAGTCATGGTCAAAACTGTGCATCAGTTGCAACTAACCAGAACATTTAACCAAGGCTGATGTACTGAATATGCAACACAAAAGTCAGAGTGCTTGTATTTTTGAAAAAATACAATAGTTTGCTTTCTTCATGTTCGCTGACGTTTTTTTTTACCAAAACATTTGTCCATGACTGTATTTATTAAGAGGCAGAATGGTGGCACAGTGGTTATCATTGTCACCTTGCAATGCTGGAGCCCTGTGCTCAGTTCTGGATCTGCAGGGCTGTCTGTGTGGAGTTTGTATGTTCTCCACGTGTTCGCATGGGTTTTCTCCAGATGCTCCGGTTTCCTTCCACAGTCCAAAGAGATACCGGTAGGTTTATTGGCTTCTGTGAAAATTGGCCCTGGTGTGAGTGTTTCAAAACTGTCTGTGTCAGTGTGTGGTCTGCATGGGACTGGTGTGCCATCCTGAGGGTATCCTGCCTCCCACCCGTTGCTTGCTAGGATAGACTCTGGCTGCTCTGTGACATAAATTGGATGAAGTGATTACTACATGGATGGATGTATCCATGAAATGCTTTAAAAAGGTACTCTCGCCAACTGTATATTACAACATGAATTACAACTGTGCTAAAGTTGTTTTAACAGTATAGAATAAAAAAACATATTTTCCTGTCCAATAGGCTTTTTTTGTGGTAATGTAACTCTGACACTGTTCTCTAAGAAGTTCAAGGGCAGATTAAGTTTTCTCCATATATTCTGTCTAGTGAATTGTATGAGAACTTAAGTGTTGGTACTATATTTATGGCAATTGTACACTTACTGTAATGGATGAAGAGGAAAACCATCTGTTTTTTGCTGCAGCAGAACGCTGATGGGTTTGGTGGAGCAATTGTTACTGTTTTAATCTGCTTCATTTATTGAAGGTGATGTTAAGTACTTCTTCACATCTCAGTTTACTGCAGAAATTTTACATTGAAATACACTGAGGAGAAACATCTGTTTTTAGTTGTAGGAACAGTTCTTGAGTGATTTAAAGCAGATTACATAAAACGGCGATCAGAAGTGAGTTAATGTTGCAAAGTGCTCAGAACACAGAGCAAACAATTTGTTTTTAATGCCACACTCCCCTTTTCATTTATTTAGCTGAGATGATTATGATATAATATACTTCTTATAGAAGTACTTTTCTTGTTTAAATAATTAGGAAGCTAGTAGTCTAAGCAGAAAAGAGAATCACTACAAACAAAGAGATAAAAAGCAGAAAAAACATGAAATAACAAGCTGAATGTAGACCTATAATTTCAAACTCTACAGTTTAAACACAAATTGTAAGCAGCTCAGTAGCGATCCATACAAGAAACTTGATAATACTCTTTTCAAAACAGGTACACCTCCTGCACACCCTCTATTATTTATGGTGGTTTTGGTTTTCTTCTGTGAGAAACTAAACAATTTTGTAACCTAAAATGGCACTTTGGTATTAGCACATAACATGTCCTTACCTGGTTGTGCATTTACTAATTAAATAAAATATGTAGAAAGAGTCCATATTCCTTTTTGTGCCTTACCTAGTAATGGGCCCAAGAGGTTGATTTTCATAGCCACTTGACACACAGGAAGAGTTTTCACCTGTCTCTCTAATTAGTCCTTTCAGGTGTACTTTAAAAATTGAACATGTGAGTTATGCAGACAGGCAATGGTTGAAGTGTGTCTGTGTGTCAGACTCTATGCCAAGAGAATGACAGACCTTCAGTGCATGTTCCCAGAAACATAAGAAATGTTACAAATGAAAGAATATTTGGCTCATCTAGCTCATTTGGTTGCCATTAGATAAGTGATCTGAGGATCAAATCCAGCTGTTTCTTAACAGAAGCCAGGGTTTCAGCTTGAACAGAGTGACTGGGTAGCTTTTACTATCTCCCACAATGCTCTGAGTTAAAAAAAAAGTTTGTTGGATCAACCGTTCAATCTGAAGAAGAAAGGAGCTACAGTAGGTGATTTGCATGCCTGACATTGTTTTACATTTCAAGTAAAAAATAACATTGCAATCAGGGAACTGAAACCTCAGAAATATATTGTGGTGACTGATGGCTCACAATGTTTTTGTGCCTTTTCTAAAGTCACTTCAGTACTGTGCCTTATTTGATTTCTTACGCGTGCTTTGTCTTCGTTATTTTATTTGGATGGGAGTAATTAAGAATTGAGAGAAAGTGTCTCTTAGAAACGTTAAAATCTAAATTCTAAAAAAAGAAGCCTTCATTTGTTGTGCAGATGCAGTCCCTGTAATTGTAGTCTACACAAGGATTTTCTTTATGTGTCTGTCAGTGCCTGAGAATGAAAGTCATTGACCCTTGACTCTAAAGATTTGTTTTTGCATCGTTCCACCATATCGAGTCAACAGTGTTATTGTTTGAGGCAAGCATAATTAATAATTAAGAAAACTGGAGTGTAGCTGACCAGTAGTGGATGGGTGATTAACCATTCACGAGGACATGCAGTGCTGATGTTTTTGACATATATGAACAATATAACCAGTGGCTCAGAATGGCTGATTTTTTTCAATTACTTTCATAATCTGAGAGTTTTAAGATTAAGGATATCCACAGCTTGGCACAGTCAGTCCCCTCAGATCTTCCAAATTTCTGATAATAGTATTCGTAAGTATTTTTAATAACTTTGAGTGGAATCATAGTGTTCCATCTACAAGCTGCAGGCAAAATCACTCAACCAAAATAAAATTTTAATATTGATGAGCCGAATGAGTAAAGAAGTGTAAAGTCCAATATCTAAGTCTTTTAATGTTTCCTTCTCTGTAGATGCAGCTGTAAACTCAACTAAATAGGTGCGAAATTTGAAACTGACCAGCTCCCTTTTTGTTGTTTTTGTCAGATAGGTCATCAGAAGGAGAGGTAAGCAGTTTTGGAAGAGATAAAACAATACATGTATTCATGACCAGGTTGTAGAAGAAAAAAATATAATTTCTGTTTCATTTGGTAAAACACTGACAATTTTCCAAGCAAGTTTTCTGGAGACACGTATTGTTCCAGCTTCACGTTTTGAACTTGCCCTTTGAAGCAGTGAAGCTTTCTTGTGCCCTGTTCCGAGTATCCCACTAATACTGCTGCACTTAACGTAATGGGTATTGCCCTGCATATAAGCCCGGGTTTTGTGAATTGAGCTATCAGTCGGTGCTGAGTAGCCCCCGGTTTCCTTTCCACTGCGGCACGAGACAGCGCAGCGGCAGACTTTGTTCTCACGGCCTCCTACGGCGCACCAGCTAGTGGGGTGTGCGTGTGGAAACGGAACAGTGCCCAACGTCAGCCGGCGCAGCTGTCAGCCCTTCGCATGCAACGGTGCCGAGGGCACAAGGGGATTTGTCACCAGGTGAATACTTAATTACGAACGCTGTGCTGTCTTTTGTGTTCGAAACAGCTGGCTGTATTTTTATATTTTGGACACAACTGCGGTCCAGCGTGTTTAACTCGCAACCGTCTTCACCTCTCTTTGTATCGAATTCCAGCTTGAACTTTTAAGACCGGAGATTTTGTTTTTGTGGAAAGGTAGAAGATCTTGGTAAGTTTCGGATGTAAGTCACTGTACCCGTTGAATTTGTTCATGGCCCTCTTACCATTCACTCTTCTGTGCGCTTGATGCTCGCTTTCTGCGTGCCTTAAAAACTACACTTCATCAAAGTGGTTTTCTCAAACCAGGAACTTGGCTTAGGTGTTATTTTCTATCTGTTGCATCAGTGTCTTTTAAGAACTAGGCACGCTTTGCCAATGTGATTTTAACTATTTGGGGTTCTCCCCGCTCCTGTTATCTGCGTCAGTGAAATGTTAGTCATGTCATCATTCTCTAAAATTCGCTGATGGTAAAAGATAAAGAAACCTACACGTGTCTCAGCATGTTTATCATACGGTCATTTGTAAATGACAGAATCGGCAGACACAAGAAGGAAACATGTCTGTGTGGCCTCTTTGAGAACACCTTGGCAACTCCCAGTGTTATGAAGAAATAAAAATGGGAGATTCCTGTCTTGGCTGGAGAGTAGGATATGCTTTAATAATGGTGTAAATTTAACGTTCCCTTAATGAACAAGGAAAACAAAACACTCAACCACCCCACAACAGAACACGAGTGCTAACACCTCTTTTAAAATGGCAACTTTTTCCTTCTGCATGCTGTCCTTTTGCCTGTCTCCACTTTTTGGAGCCTTGCCATTACTGTACTGCATTTTTTCTTGTTTATACAGTATATGCAATATGTTATGTAGACCATATAGTATGTACACAAAGATGTACACATTGCTTATCACAATAGCGTCTGGACTGTCAATAGCGTCTGGACTGTCATTCATTAGAGAAGCAATAATCGCCAAATTGTACAGTCGTTAAAAATTAGAACACTGAAGCAAAAATGCAAAATATACAGCAAAGCATAACAACTATATCAGAACATTGTATATTATAAAGATGTTAATTTCCACAACTTTGGAATATATATAGTATGTAAATTGTGCTGAGTTATCTGTGGTGTAGATCTAAAAATGCCTTAAAGACGTGTAGCTAAACGTATTAAACTCACAAGTTAAAATTGGAACTGGTTCTTTAAAAATAAGTAATTTATTAAAATATTAGAGTATTTGTTCGTATGGCATAAACAAGGAAACTCAGTCTGAGCTCTCATTGGAGTTGTTTTCTGCTGGAGTTCTCCTGAAAACCCTGGACGATGAAATCTGTGCGACATTGCCATACAGTAAAGAGATAAAGTGTAGCTTTGAGGGAATTATTAGTAGTTTATTCTTAATCAATCATAAAGCAGCTTTATTTAATGCACTGCAGTAAGAGCTTGTGTGGTGCTCCTGTTTGCAGACCTGTGGAAATGACTGCGCTTGGTGTGATGCGCCTAACGCTAAAACACATAATGAAACTGAGTCCACCGATACTTTGTCGAGTAGGTGCTGCGTTACAGACATAATTTGTTTGAGCCCTATGTCATATCTCCATTTGTTTTGTAGTGTTAAGGTGAATAATATTTTGCTGTGAGATGTCCATTTACTTAATTTTAATAACAGAATTAGTGCAGGAGGAAGTTGGATACTATCTCTGCTTGGATTAGGATCTGTATCCAAACAATGGTGAAACAACTCTTTGTATCTGGAAACCAGGCCTAATGAGAAGTGCTACGAATGAACACTGCGAATAAAAAAAACACAGGCCCATTAAAAAGGGTGTGAAGAAAACTTTATTTTTTCCTTGTAAATCACATTTTCAGTGAAAGAAAAAAGTGGGAGAATTTCTCATTTGCATCTTGTAAAACACGTGATAAGAGCTCACTCCTCATCAAGCCACAAAGTATTATAACACTAGTTTCCTGGTATCAAATTTGCTAGGTGTATTTCACAAACTATGACTAAATTGTAAACTCAGTTCCTCACCAGGACCTTGTCTTGTTGAGATAAAGGCAGTTTATTTTGCAGGAATCGTAATGTCAAAAACTCTGGTTTGTATCGGAACAGCCAAAGAAATCATTCTACGTTTGTAGAAATAGAATTCCATAAGGAAAAAAAATATCTTTCTTTAATGCGATTTAATGTGAGATCCAATAACAAAACAAAACTATAATCCCGTGATTTTTAATTCAAAGCAACGGAGGACAGGTTGTATTTACAGTGGGTTCCTTCAGTGTATTTGAATTTGTCTAAACTTTGGCCCCTGGTCCTGCTGACGCCCCCAGGGAGTGTGAACAGTGACGTCCTTGCTTGCCTCAGCTGCACAACAGGAAACACTCATGGCCTCCCCTCCTTCCTGCTTTGAGAAAGTAGTAGTCTTTTTTTTTTTCCCTACCTCCCTCTGTCTCTCGGTTTCTGCAGCAGAACCAGCTGAGACCTAATTTTATCTCCGCACTCTGCAAACAGCCACTGCCTGCATCGCTGCTACGATTGATGTTTCCACTGCTCTCAGCCAGCCAATCAGCAAGCAGGTGTTTATGCCGAAGAAATATGATAATTTTTTTTTCTCTTTCCTCCTCTGTACAAGCTGGGTTAGTGACAGAGAGGGAGGGAAGGCTGCTGACAGTAGATGGGAATAGCTCACTTTTCAGAGCATGTCAGTGTGTTCACTAACGCTGAGAGGACCTGGATGCTTGGGTGCTAATTTAACCCCAGGAGGCTTCATTACTCAGAGGATGCAAAGGACAGACTGTCAGGTGGGCAGCACGCATGTGAGCCGCCGTGTGCCGGTTTTGAGACAGCTCTCGAATAATGCTGAATAACGTCGGCCTGCGGAGCCCAGAGCAGGGTCTGCTGCTTCAGAGCTTGCAGGGAAATGCTGGCTGCATCTCTGATCTTCTCTGTTTTTGTCCCCATGACTGTGGGCTATAACTTTGGGGTAGTTCTGCATTAAACGGACATAGAGTGATGTCGTGTGCCAAGCTACAATTCTCTGTGCTGTCTTTAGGGCAGAAACAATTATGGGAAAGTTGTTTAATTGGCCAGTTCACTTTGACATGGTCAGGTTTTGGTCTGGTGTGCCCCCAGGCCTGTTCTGAGCACCTGCTCTTTGCAGTGACGTACTGAACTGGTACGTTGTTACCTCACAAGTCCCCAAAAAATGTCTTCCCTTGGACGGGAGCTAGCTGGGTTGGCTTTAGTGTACTGTAGCTGTGTGTGTATGAGAGTTTGTTGCTGACCTTTTCACTTTCTCTCAAACACAGGGCTTGTGAGATGGATGTGAACTGGGATTAGATTGGGACTGCCAAGAAGGGTGGACTGACAGCTGACTGAGGTGGGTGACTGAATATGTACATTTCTTTGCAATTTGTGGGCTTCAACTTGGGTGCTTGCCTGCATACTTGTTCTGAACAACAGGATGTGTTCTCTCTCTTTCGAGTGGAAAGGGAGAAATGTTTTGCATTGAAAATGCCACTGAAAAGGGAAATCAACTAACGTGGATAAAATTAAACAGTGAAATGACCAATAGTTATTTTTGGATCAAGCCAGTTAGCAAGATGATACAAGATTTTGTTTTTGGGGCAGATATTATTCCTGTTTGCCTGATAGAGTGTACGCGGAGCTTATGAAATATGTATTTTTTGATATTCCTATTTTTATTTTCAGCGTTGAATTTCATAGGCACCCACTGACAGTGCCCAAGAATATTCTTTGGTTATCATTTTAACTCTGTGAACTTTGAGTTTCGAGTTTGACATGCTCTTCCTGTCACTTTGTAGCAGTGTGTCAGTGTAGTGAAGGTGCCATACCACTGGGTGAATCTAGGTAATATCACATTTGAGAGAATATTGCTCACTGTGCCATTGCGAAAGAACAGACTTTATTGTTATGGAATGAATCATTTTGCTGTGGATTGGCCTCAATAGTCCTTTTGAGTCAATGGAGTTAGAAAGCAAAGTGTTTTCTTATTTTTAAAGTAATGCTCCGATTTAACCTTTTAATTTGCTTCTTAGAGAAGGGCCTACCATGCTTAATTGTTTCATATTTGCAGAGCTTTGAGGACTAAAGAGCTGCCACTGTTTTGCCGGGCTTTTAAAAAATGAATCCAGTGCTATAGTGGGGCAATGAAAAATCCAGAGCATAAAATAATTTAACATGAGTTATTTTACAGTTTTAAAGAAAGACTTGCCCTTTCTTGAACTGGCTGGATCTTTTTTCCCCTCCTGAACCATCATGTTTGCCTTGAAGGAGGAGAATGAGTAAGCCTTTGAAATGCATTGCTGTTGTGAAATGTGTTCTCCTCTACCAATCTGGATGTCTGCCAGCTGAGAGGGACTGGGATCACATTCTGGTTAGAACACAGAAGTGTTATGCTGGCATCTGTTTCATTGATTTGGCAGTGCTGTGTGGGTTGGCACGGGTGTTTAGTTGTGTGTAAATGTCACAGGTTGCAGAAAGTGGATGAACAAGCTGTTTGACAAGCACTTACAGAGCATTTTCTTCATGCTTTCTTAAAATGTAACATGACTATTGAGAGTTGCATATAATATGTATTACAGCACATAAGATGAATGCATATGACTTTCAATAATTGTATTAATTGTTAATGTATAAATGAAGGCTCTTTAAAGGAACAAATAAGTGGTGAGGTCATTTATTCAAGTGTATTTTTTTGTTCAGCCCTTCAAGATATACTGTGCAAGCAATGTGCATGCATTTTTATGCCTTAGATTTAGTATACTTGTAAAAGAAAAACAAATCTTACAAAACTTGTTTTGTTGTTCTCACCAGTTGTAGTGACAGAAACAAATATGATAATGTTTTTTGTTGACAAGCCATCTACGCCATTAGGAGTGTTCTGTAACTGAATAAGACATTTACATAGATCAACAACAAAATAACAGTTTTAGAGAGAGTTCTGGTTTGTAATACCTTTTGTTCTTCTGCTGCTCTACTGTGCAGTTTGGTATATTATCACTATCTCTGAGAGATAAAACACATGGAAATGTCATTCCCTCATATTAGTAGTCCTCAAAATCTGTTTTCTTTTATACTCAGAAAAACATCAAAGACAAAGAGCTGTAAAAAAACACCCCAAGGTTTCTGCGTTCATTTGTAATTTGAAATTGAAGCTGTATCCCTCATATAGGGCAGAAAAAGCCTGTCCTTTAAAATATTTTTGAGAAGAAATTGTGAAATATGTGTAGTATCTTGTTGACTATGTCTGAGGATTCTGCTGACTTGTGGACACAGGCTGTCTTGGACTTGTGACTTGAAGGCAATGAGATGTGATTTATAGGTCTGTTGCTGACAGTGGTACAGTATGATCTGGTAGCTGGTGGAACATGTACATGCTGTCGTTTATATATATATTTCTAATCTAAAAAGTATAAAATTGCTAAATTTATAATCGATTTCACCAATTATTTTAGAACCAACAGAAAATAATTTTTGGGGTTATTTTGCTTCATTTTTTGATAGGTGATTAATGCCTAAAATCCAGAATCTATTTCTTGAAGGATCTTATAGTCAGTAGTTCAGCCACTCTGTCTGCCCTCTGTCTGGACTGGCCCTGAACTTAATTTCACTTGTGCCCTCGGGTCCTCATGTTGCTGCTCATCTAGAAGAAATCCTCTTAGTGCACTTGGTCTTGCGCTTGGTGCCTTTCAGGACTTTTAACACCTGAATCAAATTCCAATGTAGTGCTCTTTATTTCAGGTTAGAAAAACTGTTTGAGTGACATCCCCATCAGACCAGGAAGTAGTCTGCTTGTTCTCCTTTGACAATGAAACTATAGTATCTTTTAGCATGGTTTTTAAAATTGATGACAATTTAAAGATAACTTGATTTACATTCTACACTCTTAACCACATACTGTATATAAGCATTTTATTGACCTTTTTGTTGTTTCCCCACACTGCGTAGTTGAATAAAGTGAAGATTCAGCATGAACACCATCAAGTATGTCTAATCTATGGCTACTTCCAGTTCAGTACCATATATTAGATATTTACAATTCTCTTTTTCTTTCCTGCTTGTAATATCTTTCTTTGTTGTTCATTAAATTTCATTTGCCAGCTATCAGACCAATCCTTGTTTATTTGCTCAAAGAAATCTATCAGGTTAAGCATAATCTACCCATTTAAACCACTCTTTTGCATATCTGATCTGCATGATCTAGATGCTTTCCTAATTTTTATATAATCCTTTGGCTCTGTTTTGCGCCCTTTTCATGAATGAATATTGCATTTGTGATTTTACCATGAGTAGGCACATTTCTTTGAGCACAAGAAATGCATTGGATAAAAAAGCAAAATAAACCATTTTGTCATTACTCCTCGTTTCCTTGTAGACCGTGAAACAATTTAGAAATAAGATGACTGTTTACCCAGCGTGTGTGCATGAAACTTTGTTTTGAGTTGCCTAGCTTTCTTTAGATTCTTTTTACAACAACTTCCACAAACATTTGTGAGTCTGCTGGTTCTAATACACTGTACGTACTAAAGCCACTGTGTGTGGGTAACTGCTGAAGTCCTGATAGTGATAGAAGAGCTCAACAGCACTACAAAGCCCCCATTGTTGTTCATTACTGTGCTGTAGTGTATAGCACTTGAAGACGCAGCCTGGCACTGCAGGCCAGATTTCGCCAGCACCAGCAGTGCTGCCTAATACATTCACAGACTTACAAATCACCATAGGACATATAATCTCCCATGGCAGAGATACAAGCTGGCAGTGCGCAGCTGAGAACTTTTGGGAACCTTTTTTGAGTCAAAGGTAAAATTATCCTTGTTCTTTTTCTGAGAAATTAACTAGAAGGTATGTTGACGCTGCTTTTGCCCATTGCTAATTCATTTAACTTAAAAACTGTCCCGCAGCTCTCTGAATTTTTCTTAGATTTCTGTTCTTTTATTTCCAGTCTTTTATTCAGCTTACCTCCTCCGCTAACCATTTCCTGCCCTAAGGATAACTTTAGATACTGGTGACTTTGTCTCGTTTACTGTGGGATGGTTAAGGGTCTCACAGCTACAAATGCATTGGAGGGGTTTTCAAGCAGCTGTAGGAATTGTGTGAATTTCTATCTTGTGCCTAACAAGCGATATGCCAGACCTGAGAAGAGCCATAAGACTACATTGTGTAATCTTACCTTTGGAGGGAGGACGCAGATTTTTCCCCTGACACAGACAGTCAGTAAAGTCATTTTAAAGTTATTAAATTTGCATATAGCAGACAGCTCTGCAGCACCAGTTGGAGATGACATCAATTGTGAAGGCTTGTAAAAGGTTAGGTCTTGTAACAACTGTGCTCTGAGTACTCTGTCACAAGATGATGTGTGCGTGATTCATCCCGGAAGACACGTACCTACAGTACCTACACAAGTGCAACACATTGCACTTTTGCAGGCAACGTCTGTTAGACGACATAGCACTGCATAGCTAGGCTATATTTAGTCAGAATGCTGAGGCTGTGTGTCTGGTACCCGCCTGGTTAAGTTGGAGGGGACTTTAAGGAAAAAAAAAGATGCCTTGTGTCTTTCAGCAAACAGTATTCTTTGGAGATAATAAGAGTGTAGGTATTCTGCATATAAGGCAACATGATGGCACAGTGGTTAGTACTGCTGCCACACAGTTCTGGGGCCCTGGGTTCAATTCCAGATCTATCCGTGTGGAGTTTATAAGTTCTCCCCGTGTTTGCTTGGGTTTCCCCTGGGAGCTCCGATTTCCATTCACAGTCCGTAGACATAATGCAACTTAATTGGCTTCTGTGAAAATTGACTCTGTTGTGCGTTTTTATATGTGTGTGTTGCCCTGCGATGGACTGGCGTCCCATCCAGGGTGTACCCTGCCTTGGGCCTGTTTCTTGTGTGGATAGGCTCCAGCTCCCCTGCGACCCTGTATTGGATAAAGCAGTTAGAAAATGGATGGATACGTTAATATTCCATGTGTGTTTAAAAATTATTATTCTAAAGTCTTACATTAAGTAGATATCTCAGTTGTATTTTGTGCATAAAGAACTGTAAATTCAGTATCTGTATTTGCAGTACTGACCAACCATTGTCCTTTGGGAACAGTATTGTAATGAAATACAGCAGAGTAAAATAGTACCTGAATTGTTAGAATTTAAGGAAAGCCCCTAAAAAATAATGTATCCACCATTTGTGGAGTAATTAACAATTTTCAAACCTAATCATTAGATAGGTGGTGAGACTGCAGATGTTGTTGAACTGACTGTAGAAAATCAACTTGCTTGTATTTACAGACTTTCGTATTTCTATCAAGCACCTATATAGTAACGATAATGGTTTGTATATTTCTGTTCCTTTAAAGAACATTG